CTCCCCCTCTTTTTTCTTTCTGACTCTACTTTACTATTATTCCCTGAGGCTACATGTTACCCATCCCCTGACTTTGGAATTAAAGTTCTCCCCTCCTCCTCTTCTAATCTGTTCTCTTCATTATTCTTTCATTACACATCGCAGTTCCCTTTGTAGTGTCTCCATGCTTCTGTTTCCCTTTATCCCTTTGCTTTAGGCTGATGTGTCAAATATTCTCCCTGTCAGGTAGCTTCATTTTTGACACGGGGTGGGGGTGGAAAATCACATAAAACAAGGGTCTATTAAACTGGCTGTCTGTTTTGCAAGGTGTGACAATTTCCCTGCAAATAGTGTCATACAACTACAACTGGTTTCATTTCTCTTGAAGTCTCAAAATGCTGACAAGTCATGACCTTTAGATAATTCCAACAGCCATGGAGGTGGTTGACAGCCATGAAATGTCTGTATAGAAAAAAACATGGCTCCAGGGTTTGCATTGTCCAGCTTCCTCTTAGGTCCTGACTGAAATAGCTCAACCAGTATTGAAATGTTCCCCAGAGGTGGAATCCAAACTGACCTTTTTTTCCCTGAACACAATGGGCAGATCATACTTTTCATTGAAATGTCACATCGTGGACTGGAAGGATGGGCACACCATTTTTGGATCGATACTATTTCCAGACAGTGTATCAGGAAAAACTTTGTTAAATCTGGTGATCCCTTAAAGGAGAACTCTGCTGGTTTTACACATCAAAGTCTGTTTATAGGTCTTGGGGAGTGTTGCTGCATATGTGGAGAAAAAGTTGTATTTGGTTTTGTAGCTCCGGAGGGAGCTGTGCAAAGTCTGATAAATTGCTTCAAGTGAAATGTGAGAATATTATGGTTTGATCCTAAGTTTAATAATGTGAAAATCTGGGGATGTGCGGTTAGATATAAGCTCGTAAGACCTCTATAGTCCGCTCAAGGCATCATTAGCTACTTATGCCATAATGCACCCAAATCTCAAATACTTTTTTCTCTTCAACTGTGCATAATGAGTTATAGGAGTGCAATGCTAAGAAGGTGTTATACTTTTTCATCTAGTGCCATCATCAGGTCACAATTTTTATTTGATCAAATCTGATGCAATTCTCACTAGCCTCAGCTGTTTTTTTAAGCAAATGCTAGCATGACAAGATATTAAAATGGTGAAGACCTAGCTAATGAGCTGTGTATGAACCCTTTGCAAATAAACAGGAGGCACTGCAGCTTGTTGCACTGGTTGTAAAAGCAATACAGAACTTTTGGGTGGTTTTAAAGAATCCTCATCTACCAGATTAGGTAGTACACGTATGGAATGTGTGTAGGAATTGACATGTGGGGGTTGCAGTTACAGATGAGGACATTCATTATCAGAGTAAAGCTGTGTGATGCAGTTGTGCATTCTGTCCAGGGTGGGAGTTTTCCCATGTGAAGGGTTTTCATCCATGGGTCTTATACTCAAGTGAGGCAAAGATGTAGTTTGACATCAACAAGAATCAGTGATGTGGCATCAGCAGGGATACAGACATTCCAACAGACTGCGTATGTAAAGATACATATGATCCTAAAGGCAATGCCCGTGATTAATTCATCTTCATCTCAGCACTGGTATATGAGATGAGTTTTCTTTGCAGAGCGTATGGACACTCCATTAGGATACGGATGGAGTTAGTGACTGTGTTTCAGGTATATCTGCAGAATGCCTCCTGCATATCTCCCTGTGGAGGAATTCTAGGAAGGTTTTGGTAGAAGATCCTGGAGCAGACCCAGAACACATTGGAGGATTATATTCCACCTGGCCTGGGAACATATCAGTGTCCTTGTGGGAATCAAGAGGGCATGTGGTGAAGGACATGTGGTTTATCTAGATTAGTCTGCCATGACTGCAACCTGTCACCACAACCTGGTAAGATGCAGAAAATGGGTTGATCTGTGAGTGGATTCAAATGTTTTCATCAACTGTTAAAAGACAAAACAGCGCATTGCAAATCTTAAAGGCAAGTGGCTGTGGTGTTTATTAAAGACTTGGAATTCAGCAATGTCCTCTTCATGAGGAAAGTGCAGCATCTTAGTATAGGACTTTGCATAATATCCACCATAACACAAGAACAGTACAATTACACTTGCTTACTCCTAGCTTAAGATAATATGTGTATCTAACACTTGTATAAACTTGAGCACCTATAATCTCTATGCCAAGTATGGGGGACACAGTTTTGAAATAACAGCATTTGAACAGTGCTTTGCACTTGAAGGATTATGTCAAAGTACACAAAAGACAGTGTGTCTGAAGGATTACTACCCTATTATTTCAAAATGTGTCTTGTCTGACACAGCGTTAACAAATCAAAAACAAGGCTGCCTCCTTGTGATGTTCATGCCCATCTTTGCTCAACCTTTCTCACCTTTAGTAACAAAATAACCTGAACTGTGAGATGCTGCAGAGACCTTATACTTTCCGTCTCTGGGAGTGAGGGTGTGTTAAGCTCTGTTAGACATTAATTTCATCATCAGAGAGTACGAAAGGTTGTGTGTGGTCCTGCATACAACTGCCAATTTGTTGTGAAAACACGGCATGAGCTGGAAAACAAAAATAGGCACTGAATTTAAAAAGACTGCATGAGGAGACTACGACCCCAACTGTGTTTAGTTGCTCTTCTTCTTGTATGGATGTCACTGTTTTGATTTGATTTGTTTCACACATGCTCTGAATATATAGACACAGATCTGCTGTTAATGTCTGGTATGCGTCCACCAAATAGAGTCTAATACAAACAACTCTGAGTCCGTGGTATCTGCTGCTGTCTGTGTACATGCCCGACATGGGGAATAAGTACCTTCATCCCCTTCCTCAATCCGTCTTTCTCTTTATTCTTCACTTCTTCCTGCTGCCCCCCTACCCCTTATTAATCACTCTTTTCCTTTCTATGTCCCCCCCTTCCCCTTTATATGACTTACACTGTCCTCTTCTGTGTCAGGAGGACAAATGCTTTCCCATCCTTATTTCTCCTCTCCTCTCCCACAGCTCCATTAGGTAATGAGCCCATACAGTAAATCACACCCTCAGCTACTGTGTGTACGACTAACGGCCTTATGTAAGAATACCCTGTGCTTGGCTAAATCAGCATTTACCACAGCAATGCAGCATGATATACAGTGGGTATTATGTAAAGGCTCACTACGCTAAGTCTTTCACCACAGGACAGAGAACTTGTAAGTGGATCTCATGTCTCTGCAGCATGGAGAGGTGATTATTACTGGGTCAATAAAAGGGATAAGTAGCTGTATTGATGTTAGTCTGTATTTCCCTCCTGCCGTCATTGCTTGGAATAAACCAAGACAATGACAGGAGTGAGAAGTTTAACTAGCTACCTAGGTCCCATTAAACTCTCAGTAGCAAACACAAACTGCTGTGATGTCTCAATGTGTTTAGACCAGCTCTGTGTGTATTCCAGCCATCAGTGCCCATCCAACACAGGGGTGACTGTTTTGTATGCTGCTGTAGAACAGTTTGCAAGTATTACTTCTCGTCTTGAAACGGGCCTGAGAAAATATTAACCAGCTGTTTTAGACCAGCTATGTTTGGAATGTAGGTCTTTGAATGCAACTGCTCTGCAAGGGTCTATTATTACCTGCAGGGTGTGCCGATTATCTGCGTAGCTCCTGAGTCAACCTGTCTCCAATAGAAAGAAAAATGGATGTTCTCGTTGAGGATTTGGATGGTCAGTGGTGCCATTAAACCATCTTACGCAGGACTAACATCTGTTTTTGCTTTCCAAGTCTCAGCTTATGGGATTTGGCTTAAATCAACTTCATGGGTCACACAATACCCACTCCAAGCATTCAGACTGGAATTATAGCATTGTGAATAAGCCACTTAGCCCCCCATGATAACTGTATATCTGAATTGTAAATACCCACATGGGTTGTCCCATATACCCTGTAAATACCCAAACAGATTCTGGAGGGATTACATGTCTAGGAATGAATGGTATGTCTTTCAATGACAGACAGCTTAACCCAGTCCCATGAAATGGCCTCTGGTTGCTTTGAAAATGAAAATCATTATTTGAGACATAATGCTAGTTGAGGACGTAAAAGGTCTAAACCAGGGCCGGAAATTTGTCTACAAAAAGCTGAAGAAGGCTGATTGTTTTTCTCCAACCATTTAGTTTGGGGGAGAAATCTAGACCTCTGAATTATGATGACTACCTAGTAGCCTTGAGCTATAAAGGGTGAAAACAATTCCTCATGTCTGTATTTGCAATTTCCCACTTAATCAAATGTTAATTGTTCTACAGACAATTTTTAATGGCTAATTCCCCAAAACTGTGTCATTAACTCCATAATTTTCAAGCAATAAAAGAAATTAAACTTAGAGCCTGACCGACAGAGTATTGGGGCCAATGCCAACACCGATATTAGGGAGTAAAACATTTCTGATACCGATATGACGGCTGATTATATATATATTTGAAAAAAAAATGTAATGATTGCAAAGATGTTATCAAACCAATGACAAACAAATGTAATAGAGGCTTGATATTGAACAGTTTAAAAAGAAGGTTTATTATAGATAACTATACATAAAAATGCATTTATAAATATATACTTGATTTGTGTATTTCTGTTGTATTTTTTGCTTTGAAACTTTTACATTGTGCTGATAGAACTGAGGTTTTTTTTTTTTTTTTAATCTTTAATTATTTATTTTGCAGTGAGCTGGAGCGTCGTGATAAAAATCACTTTTAAGTTTCTTGAAAGAAATCCTGCGGGCCCCAGTGGACCCGGGCTACTACACGATTAGTCAAGCAGGTCTTTTCACTGCAAGTGAGGTGGGGAGAGGGAGAGAGAGAGAGAGAGGGAGGGAAGGGGGTTGTATTGGGAGAAGGAGGAGGAGGAGGAGGAGGAGTGGGGGGGGGGGGGGGTCACCTTTTGTGCAAATATATCAACCAAGTGAACTGCCACCACCAGCATCAGATTTCTGCGTGTGTGTGTTAGAGAGAGAGAGAGAGAGAGAGAGAGAGGCAGGCAGTCCTTCAGCAGAGAAAGAGAGAGAGAGGTGTCCAGAAAGCTTTGGAGCAGTGGAAGAAGGAAGAAGACTGTAACTGCTGCCGGGTTTCCACTCTGCACAAAGACTCAAGAACAACAACAACAACGTGAATACTTTTCCTTGAAAAAGTTGAGAGAAGCGGACATGGACGGGACAATGTTCGGACGCGTGTCGCTCATGTGCACCTTGCTCTGGGCACTGCTGGGTACGTCTCTTTCATACTTTCCGCGACATGTTTTCTAAAATGATTGTCTCCCTCCACTAACTTCACCTCGTCTCTGACGCGGAGCAGGTTTTTCATGGCTTCAGGCTGCAGGTTTTCACTTTTCCTCTCCCGCAGACGAAAACGTGTCCGTCCCCCGCCGCAGTGAGCGCGTCAGGAGCGGCTCATTAAGTTCAATCAGACACTTTGTAGTTTGTTGGCTGCGTGTTGTCGGCTGAACAACCTGTAACGTGTGCTGTGGTTCAGTTCCTGTAACGACACTGTTCGGTGGAGTAAGTGGGTTTAAAACAGACTGTGCAGCAGGTTTACGCAGCCCAGACGTTGCCAGTGATGGTTTATGGGTTAGTGGTGGCTCCGCTACTTTTTACGCACGTCTTTGCGCACAGTACTGCGGTGGCACAGGGTTCTTTCTTCGGACACACCTCATGTTAAACCAATGAGCTTCAGTTCAGTAACCAGCACTTCACTTCAATCAGGATAAAACATGTTGACTTTTCAAATTAAAACTCATCGAAGAACACAATGTCCACCCGTGGATAATGTGTCCTTTAAGAGAAAAACATGTCTAAACTCTTAATGTCCACATTACAATGTCAACCTGCTATTGTTTATTCATTGGTTTCCCCTGAAGAGTAGACTGCATGGTTTTATTCTGAAGGCGCTGCCCCATGCTTCCATGTCTGGTTGCTGTGCTGCAGTTTCCATCGCTTTGATGTCTGATCTGCGGGATTTGCGTCTCACCCGCCTCACCCTCCTCACCCATCAGGGCTGCCAGGGGAGCTGGTCTAAATGCAACTTGACTTTGGCCTTATGTGATCAGTGAAGGAAGGTTTGCGGTTATTGACTGAAAGCCCACTGTGTATTGATCGCAGGAGTTGCTGTGGTTGTCCATAAGTTTATTACTGACCTCAGTGTACTTTGTACGTGGATCTCCAGTGGTTAACGGCCTCTATAGGGAATTAACATGCTGCTGGTGAGCTTGTGTTGTTCTGGTTATTATTCTCCTTTAGAGTAAAAATCTCTTGTCCTGTCACAGTGATATTAAATTGCTTGTGTAATAGGTTACTTGTTTGATGTTTGTGTTTATCTGGAGAAATGTAGTGTAGCGTCAGTGTGGCTATTTGTGTTTGTCGAAAATCAAATTAGTGAGAATGCTTTGTGGTAATATAAATGAAGTAGTTTCATATTCCCAGCCAGAGCAGCAGCCTCTGGTGGTTTGAAGCAGGATGCAGGGCGGGGCTGAAGTGATGTCCGACACTACCCTCCCTCCAGCTTTCATTTCCCCTCTGACTGTCCTGTCCTCAGTGCATCATGGTGTATTTCTCACTTTCACTCTCTCATGTTCCTCTCCTCGCACCACTTTGTTTTCTACATCTTTTTTTTTTAACCACCGGCCTCTCCCTCCTCTGGTCTCACAGACAGTTGTACTTTGCTGTCTGTCTGCCCTTCATGGAGCCTTTTAACAAGTGTCTAAAAAGGTGCCCTGTAATTGATGGACAGCTGTGGTGCACTGATTTAAAGGCTTGGTTCCAGGTGCTGCGCTCTTCCCACCTGTGTCGTCCTAAAGTCTGAGGGAATGAAAGTATTTGTTCTACTTTGGTGCAACATGGGTTTCGTCAGGGAAAAACTTGGCCAGGTCTCTTTCTCTCACAAACACACACAGCATACTTGTGTCTAATAATAGCAGCTCTTGTTGAGTCTCAGTGGGATTCTGTCACACAGACCCACATATTCAAAATTAATGGTCACACACTTGCAACTTCCAACTATGTCAGTGTTGCACATGGAGGTGCACTAAATAAAACCATGGCACACCAAACACCTGGGTGTGTCCTCTCCTGCAAGTGTGTCTCCACGTTTCTTAGCCTGTATGTATATGTTCATATTTCTGACACACGGATATGCGATGCATGGCAACGCAATGCAGGACACCCCAAGGTGCTCAGCATGCCTGTGCCCAGGATTGTGCTGACCCTTTGACCCACCCACCCAGACATGTTGGTAAATGGCTCCAGCTCTGCGTTTCTGAGATGCCACTGCTGTTTGGTTTGCAGCTAAGGCCTCAACAGAGGAAACAGACAGAACTTCATTTCAGGTGTCTAAAAACTGTGATTGCACATGAAATTAGAAACAATCACCAAGGAAATGATGAAGAAAACATTGTTTTTTAAATAAATGTGTCCAAACTGTTTTCGTAAGTACCTTAGATCGGCCTTAGTTGCTCTCTTAACTTTTTGGGGGGGATAAAAAAGTACAAAGTCACATAAAGGTAAAGAGACCAAACGAGAGTCAAATGATTAGATGAGTGCGAGCTAAGCTGTAGCAACTCCAAAGTCTTCAGAGAACGGTGGAAAGAATCATCGTGACAAGCATCAGCTGAGTTCAAGGTGTTCACCACTAACGCGCAGCGTCAGCCTCTTTGTCTATCGCTGCCTTAATTCCCCACAGTCATTTCCTCACTTTTAATTTCTATCCCCCCTGCCGGCGCAGCATCAAACGTGCACCCCTGCAGCCATGTGTAATTATTATGGTATTAGGCCAGAAAAAGAGCCATTTAGCCATGAGGAGGAGATAAAAACCAGGGGGCAGGTTTTTCACCTTTGTCCTGAGGCACTTGGGTTTTGACTTCTGTTTCTGTGAGCACACACGTGCATCCTGGAATGTATGACTACAAAAACACCAAGCATTCACTGGTAAAATGCATTCACACACACAACTGCAAAGTAATGTACAGATACATACATATTTGCTGTAAGAACACACACACACACACACACACACACACACAGAGCCCCCCAGTTGCAACATTCTAGTGTTATGCAACACTGGAAACCTTAGCTCGTACAGCAGTGAGTGACAGATTAATAGTTGCTGCTTTGGGAGAGCAAGTCCATGTTTGCCCCCTTGTCATTTAGGCCTCGGGGGGGAGTGGGTCTTGGAATGGTTGGGTCGTTATTATTGAGGTGATTCATTCCCCCCGTGTGTGTTTGTGACTATGTGAGACATTGATGGAGGAGAGCACTCAGATGGAATGAGTGGCATTCCTCTGGACACGCTCGAGCTTGCGCTGTAATGTGTGTGTTTGTGTGTCACTTCAAATTCTGTGGAAAAAGGGGGCCACCCTTTCTTGTTTTTAAAGCTCCCTCTCACCACAAGTCACAGGCCGTAATCCACATGCAAACAAGTAGCCTCAATGTGGCCTGCGTCTCACCATGTAGTCAGTGTTACAGGTGTAAGGATGGAATCTGTTCACAGCCACGGTGCATTCTTGTGGTTTGACAGGACGTCACTCAGCAGGATATCCAGGGGTCCCCAGTTAAACATTAGTCAGCCACAATAAAAGGCACATTCACGCTGACTTGTGCAGGAAGTTCATTAAGTAAACACTGAACTCCGAGACAGCCTTTCACCTATATAACCACTTGTGTTTATTATTGAATGGCACATTAAACTTAATTATAGAAGTTTAATAAGACGCTGATGTTTCCTAGTGAGCACCGGTGGGAAAAGGAGCATCAGAAGATGATGGGCTCTACACATGTGGTTCATCCTGGTTTGAAGTTACTAAGACAGGATGAGACAGAAAAGTTTAACCACAGGAGCTTCAAAAGAGTTGAAGTCACACACTTCCATAGATCAACACACAAACAAAAGCACCAGCTATGTCTACGTCCCTCTCTCATTCTCTCTTATCTCTGTCTGTCTGTCTCGGCCTGTCTCTCTATTACCCAACATTCTTTCTGTTTTGTTCTTTACAACGACACTTGAGAGTAGCTCATTGGATGTCCAGTCCTGTGTGTGAGTGTGTGTGTTTGCTTGCTGTGATTTACCATGTTGCCTTTTGCCCGTTCCATCCACTGTGCTTTTGTGCGTGGGTCAAAGTTAATGACCCTTCATAGCATCAGTAAGATTGCCTGCTGTGTTTTAGTGCCAGAGGACTCTGTTTGCTTTCACACCCATCCCAGGAGCCCCATTCCTCAGCAGATTTATGGCCACTATTAATGATTTTGAAATAAGAATGACCATCCTCCCCCTGCTTGGCACGTTCATTGGTTTTCACTTTCCAAAGCACAAATGAAGTACGGTGTCAGTCTCTGCCATCTTCAAAGCAGGTTTAAAGGTCTGAAAACTGTAAATATATGATGCCACGAATATTAAAAAAAGAAGATGAGAAAGTTGGAGGGAAAAAAGAGAAGAGGAAGGGAAGGATGGGATAAATCAGAGACGGAGGGATAAACACAGATCTTGGGATTGGATAAGAGATGATTACAGCTCCTTTCTTTTGTTGCTACTGTGCACTCCTGTTCTCCTCAGGGGAGGAAGGATGGGTGATTTCAAATGCAGCCTTGAAATGAGGCTGCACGTCTGTGTGCGTCCTTGTCTCTACATATGATGGTTGTTTTAGTCGCAGGGTGGGGGGGGGGGTTGCGCTGAAATTCAGGGTTGGAGCAAAATTGAAAATTCACAAAGCTCTATTGGCAGACGAGGTTAAGTGCTGCCAATCCATTTATCAGCAGAGTGCCGCGGCAAGATGAGGATAATTTCTTTTCTGTGCTTTAGTAATGTACAGTTCCGCAGCGGCGTGAGCACTTTTAGAAGTGCGCAGGAAAAATCTGCACCAGCAAGGAAATACAACGACCTACATATTTTATATCTGCCACAAAAAATTGTCTTGTCTCGTGTCCTGTCCAGCTGTTTTGATCAATCAAATAGCACGAACGTGGGGATCAAGCGAACAAAAGCGATAAAGGCACAGATAGCAGCAGTGCGGATCAGACAGGCGGACTATGTCAGGATTGAGGAATACCAATTAGGGATGGGGAATGCCATGGAAAAGCCTGGATCTGTGGCCAAGGAGATCATTTTCCTGGCAGAGGAGAAGAAATCCTAACCCCTGCGCCCCTCCAACCCTAAACCCACCATCTGACTGCTGGCTGGCAGGGCGTCCTCTGGGAGCCCCGCAAGCTGTTGCTTTTCAGACA